AAATGACCCTCTTTAATTCAGCGACCCAGCCTTCCTCTTGCTTGTTTTGGGAGGGCAGCAGGGTCCTCACGAGGAAATGCAGGCAGAGGTTTCAGCCATGAGGGTCCAGAGGCCGGCCTTGCATTAGCGGCTGCTCCTCGTTGAGGCCCCTGGGCTTCCATCTCCTGTCACCTATGGGCCTGGGGCCTGGGAGGAGGCGTGGATTATGTCTGGAATGAGCCAGAGGGGACCCTCAGAGGCGTGAGAGCAGGGGGCTGCCTGCCAGGTGGAGGGCCCGCTGCCTTTATTTGGGGTCCCAAGGGGAGCCATGAGGAAACACGGACAGACCCCGGGAGCCGTTTTGAGCTCCTCCGCACATGCTGGGGGGCGTAGCCCTGAGCAAAGGGACGGGCGTTTTTCAGGAAAACACCGGTGGTGGAATTCTCAAGCTTTCACTTCAGGTAAGGACTTGTGCAGATCTCAGTGATCATGTCCCCTTTTTGGGCACGAACATTCCAAAGCTGGGAAAAGCCCCACACCAGCGTTTTAGTGGTGTGATCCCTCTACTGCCAGTTCTCTTGTCCTGGATAAAGGTCAGGGACTCTTAAAGAAAACACGCACACACACACACATGCACACACGTGTACACACACGCACGTGCACACATGCACACACATGCACATGCACACGCACACACACGTGCACACACACAGAAGGGGTGGGGGCCACTTTCAGGGTCCTCGTGTGTGGTGACACCTTTCCTTCCAGCCCCCAACACATGGACTTCACCCCTTCCAGTTGTCATAGGGAGGGTACAGGGGACAGACAGGGTGCATCCCTCAGAGCTGTGGGCTTTGGGGGCTTGAGTGTGTCCCAGGCACACAGGGCTGGTCTGTAAGAGGGGGATCGTGCAGCCAAGGAGGCTGGCCCAGAGCAGGGGTGATTCAGAGTTGGGCGCGGGACGAGAGCGCTGTTCGCGGCTGTCTGTGCTTCCCACCACCCAGAGGCCTGTTTGGGCTGTCATCTCAGTGACATCTTACAGGACCCCTGTGGTACGGACAGAGAAACTGAGACTAGAAAGCTGGTAGCAGCAGGAAGAGCCAGGTGCAGACTCTGGCCTCTGAGTGCTCTAATCACCACGCTGATGGCCCCCTTCGGTTACCTCTGTCTGCCGGTGGTGAGGCCCTGGGATACAGAGTTGGGGATTTCTGAGGATGGAAGCTCACTGCGAGTGACAACCTTGCCTGAAATGGGACAGCTGAGAGTTACCTGCACATGGTACCTGATTGAGTAGGGGGCAGCCATGCTGCAGGATAGCTGGAGGGGCTAAGGCTGGAGAAGGGGCTCCTAGGAGCCTTCTCTGGGTCCGTATGAGGTTTCTTCTTGTCACAAGAAGGGTGGAGTATAGGACTGGTGGGCACCAGCTGCAGGGAGGCAGGCGTATCACTGGCCAGAGCTGGAAGCTTTATGTGGCCGGCCGGGGGAGGCAGATGACAGATGAGGAGCCAGCTCAGAGCCATGGCTGATGGGGGGCCACATGAGGGAGCTTCCAGCTCAGAGTCCAGATTCTTCCTGGCCAGGGAGCCGCCTTCCTCCTGCCCTCCATTCTTCCCTCCTTCCCTCCCTCCCTCACTCTATCCCTGCATCCCTCTGTGGGAAGTAGACCCCCAACTATCCATCCACCCACCAAGATCTATCTATCAATCAATCAATCTATCTATCTATCTATCTATCTATCTATGTATCTGTCTATCTATCTATCTATCTATCTATCTATCTATCTATCTATCTATCTGTCTATCTGAGACAGAGTCTCCCTGTCACCCAGACTGGAGTGCAGTGGTGCAGTCTCGGCTCACTGCAGCCTCTGCCTCATGGGTTCAAGGGATTCTCATGCTTCAGCCTCTTGAGTATGTGGACTGTAGGCGCCCACCACCATGGCCAGCTAATTTTTGTATTATTAGTAGAGACAGTGTTTCACCATGGTGGCCAGGCTGGTCTTGAACTCCTGACCTCAGGTGATCTGCCGGCCTTGGCCTCCCAAAATGCTGGATGGCAGGCCTGAGCCACCGCGCCCAGCCAAGATTTTTCTTTCTTTTCAATACCCTGTTTTATTCTCAGTTCTGTATCTTCTTTTAAACACTTCAGGATTTTTTTTTCATGTCTAATCTAAATGACACTTGGTTAAGGTAAACTAACAGCAATTCATTCAAATAAATCCCATGCCCTGTCAGCACTCGGAGATAAGAACGCTCCTGCAGGCGATAACCGCTCGTCAGTGAGTTCACTGTTCAGGCTGCCCCTCGGTTCCGCAGTTGGTCAAGGTCCCAGCGGTGTCCTTTGATGTGTTGTGGTGCCGGCCATGGGACTCATTCACGGCGTCGGAAACGGCATGAGATTTCACCGGAGATGAGGCCTGGGTCGAGCCCCACTCTCTGCCCCGTGCAGATTGCTTGATGCTGGGTGAGCCTGGCTGCCTCTGGGCCTCAGAAGGTGGACTGGCCATCGCCTGGGGCCCCTTCCCTGCTGCCTCTCATGCGTCTGTAGCTTAGGGATTGGAAAAGCAGAAATCCAGCCAGAAGATCTGACTGTGATTTGGGAAACCTCCCTTTTCTTGCCCATGTATGTTGCAAGTGCTGAGAAGTTTTCTCACTTAAAAACTTATGAAATATTTGTAAACCATATATCTGATAAGGGATTAATATCAAGACTACGTAAAGAACTACAATTTGGTCAGGTGCAGTGGCTCACGCCTGTAAACCCAGCACTTTGGGAGGCTGAGGCAGGTGGATCACCTAAAATCAGGAGTTCGAGACCAGCCTGGCCAACATGGAGAAACCCTGTCTCTACTAAAAATACAAAATTAGCCGGACGTGGTGACACATGCCTGTAATCCCAGCTAGTTGGGAGGCTGAGGCAGGAGAATCGCTTGAACCTGGGAGGCAGAGGTTGTGGTGAGCCAAGATCATGCCACTGCACTCCCAGCCTGGGGAATGACAGTGAAACTGCATCTCAAAAAAAAAAAAAAAAAAAAAAGGAACTCCTGTAATTGCCCAACAAGAAAACAGTGGAATTAAAAGGCGTGGAAAGGACTTGAATAGACATTTCTTCCACAGATACAAATGGCCAATAAGCACAAAAAGAGATGCTTAGTGTCGTTAATCAACAGGGAAATTCACCGGGCTTGGGGGCTCCAGCCTATAATCCCAGCACTTTGGGAATCTGAGGCAGGAGGATGCTTGAGCCCAGGAATTGGTCATTTCTACCAACAAAATATACAAAAATTAGCTGGGCGTGGTAGCACGAGCCTGTAGACTAGCTACTCAAGAGGCTGAGGCGGGGGGTTTGCTTGAGCCTGGGAGGTGGAGGTTGCAGTGAGCTGAGATTGCATCACTGCACTCCAGCCTGGGCAGCAGAGTAAAACCCTGTCTCACACACACACGCTCTTACAGGGCAATACCCATTTGTCACTGAGTTGATTGACACACTAAGAACCCCCCGAAACCTACAAGGAGGTAATACTTCATACCCGTTTGGATGGCTGTGGTAAAAAAAATTCAGAAAACGTTCTGGGGTGGAACTGGGCACCCAGGCTCGAGTTCCTGGGTGTCATGAAATCTGGCTTCTCCATGTCTGTTTTCCTTGCCTGTGAACTGGGGGTGATGTGGGTTCTGTTAGAATCTCTTGGGATCTTGGGTCCATCACACCTGGATGCATCTGTGGCTTCTGGAGTGGTTAGTTGTGTTTCTTTGTTGTTTAGACAAATTACATGAAGCCAAGTCCCTCCTGGTGCCGGGAAAGCTCGCGGTGGGTGCAGAGCTGCCTGCTGCTCTGGGTCCCCGTTTCCCCTTGGGCTCTCCGCGTGCCACTGTGCCTTGTCAGACACGATGCCAGGCTTGGGGTGATGAGGTGGCCTCTCTGGATGCTTCCTCACAGTCCCCAGAATGACAGCGAGGAGGGCTTGGTCCTCTCTGGCTCCCTGCCTGGCTCCTGTCCTCCTGACTAGGGCAGGTACTGAGGCCCGGGACTCTGAGGGGCCACAGGGGCCCCACGCTCCATGGAAACCAGGGTGGGATCTCTCATGTGGGCCACAGGCAGGGGGCTTCGTGGGGTGGGGGAGCTCCTGAAACACAGACTCTGAGCCAGGCCTGGGGGGCGTGGCCTCGGCAGGCTCTTCTGCAAATCCCACTCCACATCTGAGCCCAGGTCTGGAGGTGGCAGCTGAAGGCCCCTGGACAGGGGCTGCTGCTCTGTGCCTGGAAGCCGCTGCTCCCAATGGCCTTCCCCGTGAACATCTCATCCCATTCTGACCTGGAACAGATGCTGCACTCGCCTTTGCAACCCAGGTGTGCCGTCATCTTGACCTCAGACTCCTGAGTACCTTGCTGGGTGGTTTGTTCACTGCTGGCTGAGCAGCTGCTGCATGTCTTTGTAGAGCTGTGCTCCTCAGCACCTCCAGTGTGCTGGGCGTGTGGAGTGGCATGGGGCAGGGCCATGCTAAGTGGGACTCTCAGTACAGCACGTCGATTGGGATGTCCCCTGGGCGGAACCAAGGCGGGCTTGCCGGCCACTGCAGACTTTGAGTGGAGCTGTGAGAGAGGAAGAATTGTTGGGGGATTGGGCAGGGTGGGGTCCCTGGAGGACGGGACAGGTTTGGAGGAGGTAAAGGGGGGCTTCAAGTCCCCGTGTGGCTGGAGCAAAGCATGCAAGGAGTCTCGGGCAGTGAGGGGCTGGATCCCAGTGGTCATCAAAAGCTCAGGCCTCTGCTGAGTGCTTTGGGGCCCTCTGGGAGCTTCGGAGTCAGAGATGTGATTGCAGCTGTGCTTTAGGAAGCCAGGTGGGCCTCGGAGTCCTGGAGGAGGGAGGGTCAAGGGGGTGGTCGTGGGTGGGAAATGGGGAGTGCGGATGCCCAGCCTCTCTTCTATTTTGCCACACGTGCTGGAGGCTGCTCCTGGGGTGGGGCTGTAGGACCCGTGACTCTTGCACCATCTGAGTGACCCTGACTTTCTTTGTGTCCGCAGACGGCATCCACAGCATCACGGCCCTCTGCACCCTGCGTGTCACCATCATCATGGACAACATGCTGACCAACAGCATCACCGTCCGCCTGGAAAACATGTCCCAGGAGAAGTTCCTGTCCCCACTGTTAGCCCTGTTCGTGGAGGAGGTGGCCGCGGTGCTGTCCACCAGCAAGGAGGACATCTTCATCTTCAACGTCCAGAATGACACCGACGTCAGCGCCAACATCCTGAACGTGGCCTTCTTGGCGCTGCTGCCCGGCGGCGTCCACAGCCAGTTCTTCCCGTCTGAGGACCTGCAGGAGCAGATCTACCTGGGACGCTGCTGACCACCATCTCCACGCAGTGCGTGCTGCCCTTCGACGACAACATCTGCCTGCGAGAGCCCTGCGAGAACTACATGAAGTGCATCTCCGTGCTGCGCTTCGACAGCTCCGCGCCCTTCCTCAGCTCCACCACCGTGCTCTTCCGGCCCATCCACCCCATCAACGGCCTGCGTTGCCGGTGCCCACCCGGCTTCACCGGGGACTACTGCGAGACAGAGGTCGACCTCTGCTACTCCAACCCATGCGGCACCCACGGCCACTGCTGCAGCCGCGAGGGCGGCTACACCTGCGAGTGCTTCGAGGACTTTACGGGTAGGTGCCTGCGGCCTGCGGGTGGCCGGACTCACCCTGGCTTTGCACACGCGTCCCAGGTCACATGGCTGAGGGTTTTGGGTGGTTCCCTCTGTCCAGGTCCCTCCAGGGAAAAGGGTCAGAGGACGGGCGCTGGGCCCAGGTGTGGGCTCCACGAACCTTGAGATGATTTCAGCAATGGCACTTTTTTTTACCCCCCCTGAGATGGAGCCTCACTCTGTTGCCCAGGCTGGAGTGCAGTGGCGCAATCTTGGCTCACTGCAACCTCCACCTCCCAGGTTCAAGCGATTCTCCCAACTCAGCCTCCGGAGTAGTCGGGATTATAGGCACCTGCCACCACACCTGGCTAATTTTTGTGTTTTTAGTAGAGACGGGATTTCACCACGTTGATCAGGCTGGTCTTGAACTCCTGACCTCAGGTGATCTGCCCGCCTTGGCCTCCCAAAGTGCTGGGATGACAGCCGTGAGCCTCCCAGCCACTAACAATAGCACTTTCTTAGCCAGCTCGGGACTTCCCTGACCGTAGCCCATGGCTCACCCACCTCTCCTGCCTGACTTAACCCCCTGCTTTAGGAGAACAGTAGAGCAAGGTTGCAGGGTGAGATCTACTTAAAACCTAAATGCACAAAGTGCCGTGTGTGGCTTTTAAGTGACTTTCAGGTTGAGGTACTTTATTCCAGATTGCAAGCTTAATTGCTTAGCGTACAACAGTGAACCGGGTGGGAGTCACTGAGCCGTTAGTCATTTGAGTCTCGAAAGCCCGTGGTTTTCGCGGCATTGCAGAAATTTCGTGACTCACCCGCTGCCTCTGAAGACACTCTTTCCTTCATGTCTCCTGACTCATCACCACGATGAATTACTCCACATGCAGCCAACGGTGCCTTTGGAGTAATTGATGCATTTTTTAGAAAAATAAAGAGCCAGCTGGAGAGCTGAACGTGTCCAAAAACACACGTTCTCTGCATCTCGGCCACAAAGCTTGCTTTGGTCTTTGCTCGTCTGTTCCACAAAATGATGGCTCATTTGAAAAACGAGTTCACAGTGTCCCGGTGGTGAATAGTCTTTTTTTTTTTTTTTTTTTTTTTTTTGAAAGCTCTCTGGGATTAGGCAGGATTTGGTTTGTACCAGAGGTAACTTTGAGACACTTTTATTGACTGTGTCCTCAATTAATCTGTTTAATATAAACACCTGAGCCATCGTTTGCCTCGTTAGCACAGAGCACAAGTTTATCGAGCTTATAACAAGGGTTTGAGGTATTAGCAGGTGTCTATCAGGCAGGAAGAGCGCCGGGGAGCGGAGGGAGAGGAAGGACGGCTTCTGAGGTTCTATACATCAGAAGTGGAGGGAAAACCACCACAGCGGGGGTGTGGGCAGCCCAATGCAGTAAGGCTCTCGGCTTGGACACCCTGCGCCCGGCGCCCCAGGTTGGTGGCACTCTGGTCATACAGCAAGTGGAAGGAAGGCACCGTGGTCACCTGCCCCTTGGTGTTCCCACACCCGCTAGTCTGTGGCTGTCTGTTGGTGCCGTCTGAGTCTGGGGCTCTTCCCCCAGCTGTCTCTAAGTGCTAATCTTAAATTCCTGGCTGTACCAGGGCTTGGCTGTGTGCAAGGCAGGCAGGCAGAGGCGGCTGGAGACCCCCGCCTCCCACAGCCCACACCTGCGTTGGCGTTGGGGTTGGGGCTGGGGAGGAGGGATAGCTATGACCAGGCCTGAACCAGGCCCCGTCTCCTGCTCTGAGTTTCAGTGGACTCCGGTTCTGTGTCAGCTTCCCAAGGTCCCCTTCCTCCCCTTTGCTGCTCGTGGCCTTGAGAGGGCCGCTCCGCCTCTCTGAAGCATGTGCTTGGATGCAGCAGCGGCCAGCACCATAAGCGTTCCTCCCACAAGCCAGTGCCCGCCATGTGCCATGTGGCCTGGGTGGGGGTGCTTCACCAACTTTCCTGCTTCAGATGAAGAAGCCATAGACGGGAAGGAGCCTGCTGTGCTCCCAGGAGTTGGCAAGGATGCCATCTTTACTCGGTCTGCAGATACTGAGTACCTACTGTATACCAGGCCAGCACACACAGCCAGATCTCCCCCAGCACATTCCGGGGGGTGACCAAGTTCATCTGTGCCGTTGGCTAATTTCATGGGTAGAGGGGACCCTGTCAGCACCCCCCACCTCTGGCTTTGTCAGATGAGTCAGAAGCCCTAGGGTGGCGTCTCACATGGCTTTGAGACCGGGCACTGCCAGTCCAGGCTGCAGTAAGCTTGGGCTGTGCTGGGTGGGGGCGGCCGAGGCCCCTGGGGATCCCGGGACCAGCAGATCCCCCGACGATGATTGACCCATTGTTGGGGAATCCACCTCCTGAGATTCTCAGGTTTCCTTTTCATCAGGAGAGTTGTTTTTAGAACTCTAATGACTGGAGAACGGCCAAGTCTGTCATCACCAAAAGACCCACTAACATGTAATGATTGGCATGAGACTAATCTGAATCCCTTTCGGTACCAAAATTATCATACGTATTTCCCTCTGAGATAGGGCTAATTAAGAGTGATTCTTTCTGCTCCGTCCCTCTCCTCTCTTTCTCCCTCTTTCCCTTTGAAGCGCTCCTTTTTCTGCGTGGAGGTAATTGAGCTCATTTATTCATGATGAAATGCTGCTGTCGTCACGGGGTTTGATTGCTTGCTCCCTGGTAAGCCGAGCTCTGGGCCTCGTGGTTGTGAGGTTGGAACGGGCTGCTGGAAGCCCCTGGCTTCCTGTGTTGCGGCATGAGAGATGGCAGGAGCTGGATGAAGGAAGGAGCACTTAATTTTGGGAAAAGCTCAACGAATTTGATGCTGGACAAAATACAGCTCTCCTGCATCTCTGAAATCCATTCCGGTTTTAGAGAATTCTGTTCAAGGCCCCAGTGCCCGTGGCTGCCCCGGTCTTTGCAGGGAACAAAGGGCTGCTGGCCGCTCATGGCATTGAGACTGTGCTTGGGGTCTGTAGCCATCCCATTCTCTGAAAGGGACAGGGACAGGAAGCCTTAATGCCCTGGCATCTTAGATGTGCCTGGGACGCCTTTCCAGTTTCTCCGCTCTGCAGAGGTTCGTGAACAACCATGAGAGGCAATTGGGCTTGTGTTCCTCGGCTTCCAGCCCCTTGGGTGTTTTGTAAACATGGTAGTTTTGCTTTTTGTTAAATTGCTCAAGGATGTGGGTCAGGCTCCTACTTGGCTCCTGTGGGTCCGGACAGGGCCCTGTCTCATCTCCCCTCTGCACCTGCTGTCCCTTCATCTGAAACGTGTCTCCTCATCCATCTGCCCATCGTGAACCTCCCTGAAAACACTTCAGCAGCTGTCCCCTGCTCTGAGAAGGTTCTAAAAGTTTCCCAACCTCATCCAATGGATCATAGCCTTCCTTGAAGCTTTCTGGGTGCCTGCCTTATGCCTTAGTTTGTCCACCCCCACACTGGGTGTGGTTCACACCCTTCCATGTCTCTGGACCCCAGGATGCCAGAGACTGTAGTTAATGGTCATGTGTGTTTGTGTGTTTTGAGACAGTTTCTCTTGCCCAGGCTAGAGTTTGGTGGTGTGATCTCAGCTCACTGCAACCTCCGCCTCCCGGGTTCAAGTGATTCTCCTGCCTCAGCCTCCTGGGTAGCTGGGATTATAGGCATGCACCACCACCCGGCTAATTTTTTTGTATTTTTAGTAGAGACGGGGTTTCGCCTTGTCGGCCAGGCTGGTCTCGAACTCCTGACCTCAGGAGATTCGTCTGCCTTGCCTCCCAATGTGCTGGGCTTACAGGCGTGAGCCATCATGCCTGGCTGGACTATAGCTAATGTTTAGTGTGTGTGCTGCTGGGCTGGTCACTGCTCTAGATGATTCTCATTTCCTTCTCAAGGCAGTTCTGTGACCCTGTTTTATAATGGAGAAACTGAGGTACAAGACACCAAAGCATCTGGCCCAGTGGTTCTCCTCAAGGGGTGATTTTGCCCCCACAGGGGACATTTGACAAAAATCAGAAGACATTTTTGCTTATCACAGATAGGGGCGGGGGTGCTGGTGGGATTCGGCCAGGAATACTGCTTGACATCTGTAGTGCACAGGACCACCCGTCCCACGGCAGAGAACTGGCCTCAGTCCCAAAGGCAAGGACCCTGCTGCCCGCCCTGCAGCGGGTGGGGTTGGGATTCAAACGTGGACATTCTGGCTTCTGAGCTGCAGCTGCAGGCCCTCGAGGGTGTAACAGTGTAGCCAGTCCTTCCTCTGGCTTTATTTGTTTAACAGCATTTTGTAAAAGGCTCCTTCTGTGCTGGTCACTGGGTTTAAAGGGGTAGTGTGGGCCGGGCACGGTGGCTCATGCCTGTAATCCCAGCACTTTGGGAGGCCGAGGTGGGCAGATCAGGAGATCAAGGCCAACATGGCGAAACCCTGTCTCTGCTAAAAATACAATAATTAGCTGGGCCTGGCAGCGCGTGCCTATAATCCCAGCTACTCTGGAGACTGAGGCAGAAATGAGGCAAGAGTGTGTCATTGCACTCCAGCCTCATGACAGAGCCAGATTTTCTCAATCAATCAATCAATCAAGGGGCATTGTGATGGGCGGTGTGGAACAGCTGGGAGTGGCTTCTCAGCTATTAACCTCATACCTGAGGGGCTGAGAGAACAGCGTTCCTTCCCAGCAAGAAACCTGACCTCATGAAGTGAGGGCCGGCCTTAGGACTTGATTTTGAATCCTGTGCTGCTCTTTGGCCTCCTCTCCTTAATTAAACCATCATGACCACTCCTTGCTAAAATGGGCAGTACTCTCTACTGGTGACCAAGAGCACCAGTCCAGGGCTCTGCTCTCACTCGGCCTTTCCCAGGTATCTGTGACAACCCAGGAGGTGGGACAATTGTCATCCCATTCTGTTAACACCCAGGCGCACCCCTGGGTGGGTTTCTTTTATTTTTTTTTTTTTTGAGACAGAGTCTCTCACTGTTGCCTGGGCTGGAGTGTAGTGGTGTGATCTCTGCTCACTGCAACCTTCACC